AGAATATGGCAAGATGAAAATATAAAATCAATAAAACATACTAATGATGAGGGAAAGCGACACATAATCTTGCACCCAAGTGGAAAGAATGGATTTGTGGATGGTGCAGGATTAATATTTTCCTCTAAATCAAAATCAGAAGACTACCACGATAACATGAACTCGGACATGTTTGTCAAATGGTTAAAAACTATTACCAAATTTAAGTTAACCATCTGTTATAATGTTAGATAATGCGAGCTATCACACAGAACTTTTAAGCAAACCACCAAGACAGAATTGGACTGTAGCCAAAATACAAGAATGGCTATGTAACGAAAATGTTGCATTTCCACAATACGCCCTTAAATCTGAGTTGTTAACTTTAGCCAAACGGCATAAACCACAACAAATTTATATGGTAGATCAAGTCATACATAGTTATGGACATGATGTGTTACGGTTTCCACCGTACCATTGTCAGTTTAACCCCATCGAACACATTTGGGGCATATGTAAAACGTATTATGACAATCATATTGGAATTAATGGTTACAGCGACGAAGCAATAAGGGAAATATGGAAACAAGCACTGGATACATCAACCCCAGAAATTTGGCCAAAAAGTGTTCAAATATGTGATAAATTAATTGACGACTGGTGGACACGTGAAAACAGGATAAACGAAATTATCCCTATAATTATATCCCTTAAGGCACCCCCTTATAATTTTCAAACAAGCATATCTCAAAAAGTAATTTTTTTTTAATTAAAATTTTGGCAAAATAAATAAGGTAATAATATCTAGAACATGTTTATATTTTAAAGTTTTAATTATTTCAAGTTTCCAAGAAAAAAAATCAAAGGGCTTTAAATTTTGAAATATTATAATGAAAATAAATGCATTCCTCAACGGCAGTAATCTTAATATAATTCCCAATTTCGGCGAATATTAAAAATGATTAACAAGAGATTAAGAGCTTAAATTTGAGGATTATATTAAGAGGAATGCATTTATTTTCAATATGATATTTCAAAATTTAAAGCCCTTTGATTTTTTTTCTCGAAAACTGAAAGGAATTAAAACTTTAAAATGTATGCATATTCTAGATATTATTGCCCAATATATTTTGCCAAACTTTTAATTTTTTAAAAAAATCACTTTTTGAGATATCCTTGTCCGAAAATTATGATGACAGCGACGCTAGTGACAGAAATTTTGAGAGTGATGAGGGAGATTTATAGGTATATCAAAAGACAATAATTTATAATAATCACTCTTTAATATAGAATTTTAAAAGGTATGTTATTTTTAATCATTGTACTTACTTAATCGCAGGGTAAAACTGTGTATGTAAATTAAAATTTTTGTTCTGAATAAACTATTATTAAACAACAAAATCATGTAACTATCTCTTTTAAGCTTTCTGAGGCAAAATTAAATACCTAAAATTTATATTTATTTTGTTTATATAAGAACTCCTTGCAATATACAAAATAACGCGACCCATGAGTAAATGTTTAAAATACAACTGACCAGTCATATCTTTCATTTATTTCTTAATCCGATATGGGTGTAAATTCAGTGAATGACCTATAGCAAATTGTTTCCACAATTCAAGAAATAAATTGTTGAAGAAGACAAATCCAAGAATAATGAAGAAATAGCAATATAAATGGTTAAATTGGTTGGTTCAATAGACAACAGTAATTAAAAGAACAAAAAAAATCGTCATGACAGTTTTTATTTTTGAATATAAAATCAGTATTAACAAATTTTGAAGGCAATCATGCTTTCTTTCAAACAAAAATAAAAATTGTAGGTACACTTAAATTACGTGCTAAATCACCTAATCTAAAATAAAAATCTTAGGTACATGCATATTAAATCATTTAGAAATAGATACCTACACAGTTTCATTCACTTTAAAAAATTCTATTCTTAGAAGACAAGGCAAAAGACGATACAGTCATTTTGATAAAATAACAAATTACCTTAACTTAAGGGTAGTTGTAACCCCAAGTCTGACAAAAAAATAAAAAATAAAACTTAAAATTTGCAGAATATCTTAATGTGTTTTTATTTTTGAGTAAATTTAATCTCATTCATTCATTTTTATTAATATAATAATAGAAGAACTAGATAAATCGTAAATATTGCTTTTAAAATATCTAGTTACCGTTGAGCAAAAATTATTATCATTTGATTAAAACATTATAATATTTTATTAGCATTAAAATATCTAAGTCTAAATTTACATTTTACATTGACGAAACTGACATACCTTACTAAGAATCGAATAGGAATAAATATAACTTTCCTCGCCAGAAGCATTTTAATTTGACAGTAATATAATATAGAGGTATTTTTACCGGAGCGACATCTGTAGGAGCATCTGGCAACATAACCCACTGCAGTTAATTCTTCTAAAATTTTCATTTAATATGGCAAAGATTAAATGAAGAAAATAAAGTAAATTTGAAAGACAATTCTTAAAGACAGAGACAATATATATTTTGTAAGCCATGTAAGACCCCTTTAACCTTTTTGACCAATGATTCATCTTACATTCTAGACACCCTAGAATACTAACTATTATTTTTTTCGCACAACAAACACCTTTTACCTCTTTCTTCCAATAAATCATCTTTAGTTGTAGACATTCTAAAAGACTATCTATTTTTTTTTTTCACCAGAAACACGTTTAAATCATTTTTTCGTCTATTTATCATTAAATATGATTAACTAGAAACTTTTTCGGAAATATTTCTATTGTTGATTGTTATACGGATGAATGCGATGGATTTAGAACATGTAAACAGTCTTTCAAGCTGAAGTAACAACAATAAATGCCTGCGCCAAAGTTATGCTAAATGACTCTCTTAGAGATAAGAGGATCGTTATCATGACAGACAAACAGGCAGCTCTTAAAGCACTGAAGAGGGTAGAAGTACAATCTAAATCAATATTTAATTGCCAACAGTCCCTCCATGCCCTGCCAGAACATAACAAGGTCACCCTTGAATGGGTGCCAGGACATGAGGGAGTGTTTGGAAATGAGAAAGCAGACCTCCTAGCAAGAAAGGGAACGGAAAAACTCTTATTGGACCAGAACCCACATGTGGTATATCATATCAACATGTTAAATGGGTGTTAAAGGAACAAATAAATAGAGAACACCACAGGCTCTGGTTGGAACTTCCTGGACTTAGACAGTCCAAAAGATTTATAGAAAGGCCATCGACGAGCAGACAACATCAACTGCTAAACCTCAGCAGAAGCGAACTCAAGGCCGTAATAGGACTCCTTACGGGACACTGCGACCTTAGAAGACACCTAAATCTCTTAGAGATATCTGATGACTCCCTATACCTTAAATGGGAACGGGAATGGTACTTCGGGGTACAATATCCGGAACCTGAAGAAATTGCGAAATATTCTTGAATTCATCAAGAAAATCAATCTGATGGGATAGAAACTGTGACGGGTACAATAAGCCTACAGCTTCAGTACAAATGGGCTTGGAACCACGCCCTAATTCAAATAGATAGATAGAAGGTTGTATAAAATTTCGTGAAACTTTGGCCTGTTCTTTGGCGGATTTTTCCCAAAATATATCTGGAGACATATGATATGGAGTATGTAAGGTATAAATTCAAGTAAAAATGAACATAACTGTATATCGCACACCATTGGAAAACATGTAACTGTATCGTAATATTATCTGGCAAAGGAATTATGAAACTAGAAAAGAAGGTACATCAACACCTTGGCTAGATACCAATTCAAATAGAGAAGAATTAAAATATAGAACATTAAACTGTTGATAATAATTTAAAATCAAAACATAGTCAAAAAAGCATACATTACATATGAACAATGCCATCGAACCCCAAAATCCTCACATGGACTTATACATCATAAGATCTACGTTAACATATGGTGCAGTGGTCTGGCTGCCGATAACCCAACAATTGACAACTATCCCTAAATTAGAATAAATACAAAGAACAGCATGTCTCAACATAACAGAAGTCATAAAAACCCCACCAACCAGAGCCATGCAATTCATGCTTAGTCGCACTCCCCTTGATATTTACATCAATGATGAAAATAATATGACTCCTCACTCCTCGATACGCTTCCACGCTTCAAACGAAATATGGATATTCCATCTTACCGAGATATATCGTTCATGAGCTATAATTCGTCGGTTTACTGCCAAAAGTGACCAAGTCAAAAATATTTCATTTTTGTTTTTATGGACCAAATTAATTAAAACTATTTACTCTATATCTGGAAAAATTGACTAAGCTAGTAACTATGAAGACTAGAGCTAGTAACTAATTTAAAAAAGTTTGGATTGGATATTCATAACATTTGATGGTCGGTCACTAGTTTAATTTAAAACTGTTTATCTCAAAACTTTGTTTATCTGACTTGGTCAATTTTGGCAGTAAGCCGACGATATAAAGTTATAACGAAACAAATAGAAGAGCCGGAAGTGGCAGATACGATTCATAACTACACCGACGGTTTTAAAACAAAAGGAGGAACATGTGGAATATACTCCAAATCCTTAAACTTAAACATAAAATGGGGTGTGAGCAATAGTGTTAGTGTAGTTCACGGAGATCCTCATAGCAGCAAAAGAAATTATCAGAAAAAATATCACTGGAAGGAACATACTGATCTATACAGATAGCAGACAAGCTCTACTCACCCTGGTCAGACTACGAATTTACTCAGGATCAGTACTAGAATGTCACGAAGCTTTGACCGAATATATCAACAATGTATAACCCTAAGATGGATCAAAGGTCACGTTACATCGAGAGGTATCCGTCTTACCAAGAAAGCAGCCAACCAAAAACATTTTGGACTTGGCCCTTCCACTGGACTCACAATATCGGTAGTAATAAACCTAATTTAAGAACAATCCCATGTAAAATTCAAGAAAAGATGGAATGACACAAGAAGTTGCAGAGTTACCAGGGAGCTTTTAAGTTATCCCGACAAAATTACAGCAAAGAAATACTTTACTATGACTAGACAGATTCTGCGCCTGATCACATGCATTCTGACTGGTAATTTCCAAGTACGGAAGCATATCCATAATATGGGTGTTATCACAATTGTGTTGAGCAAGTTTTGGCTAACACCGGATATAAAACTACATCAAATGTGTAGACTGGCTGACGAGCTAAGAGGGTCCTATCAATCTACCACTCGTAAAGAAAGTTTTGGACAATCCTGCAGGTTCTAAATCTAATATCCAATATCCAAAATGGGAGTTCAAAAGTTGTTTTTGCTTTCCTTTAGATGTCGCTCAGAAAAACCTTAACTCCAAGTTTATTTCGTCCTATTATCATCTCACAAAAAAAACCAACAAAAATCTAAAAGCTACCTTAACATTATCACAAATAATCTCTTCTGTTTACCTGGTGGGAGCGCAGCGTTCCGAAGTTATCGCGGCCTCGGTAGTTGTCCCGGCCGTTGTAGCCGCCGTCAGTCTGGAATTGGAAGAGGGTCTCCGCGTTGTTTTGGTGAGGTCCCTTGCGGAGGGTGTTCTTGGGCGAATGGAGCTTGGGAGGGGGTTGAGGAACGAGCACGGGTTCGGCGTAGGTCACCTCTTCTTGTGGAAGCAGTTTCGGTTCGGCCGCTATTCTACTATGTGAACAAAAAAAATGTTTAGTTAGGGATACAATTGGACTGCAGGTTCGTTCCTACAACGAACCTAAGAGAAGTTTCGGTAAAGGATTAGCGGAAGGTAAACAGTTAACCTTATTCTGAACAAAATTGAAATGTGATGCCAGGCTGCAATATGTTTATTTATACACTATAATAAAAATAATTTTAAAGTTGCAGCAGTTTATATTTAACCTGGACACAATTTAAAAAAAAGAACACTATATGAACTTTTTATTACACATTATTTCAGAGGTTTTTTAGAAATATTTCAAACATATAACATTTCAAGAAAAAGTTTCTGAAATATTTTAGTTAAATATTTCACTAAAATATTTCTGAAATATGTTATGTTACACAAAAGGTAACAAAACGGGTTATGTTGTAAAAGGCCAACTCTTAATGAAAAATTTCCAATTTGTAAGAAGAGGAAAAGAAGAAGATGGGTTATGTAGTCATTTTATTTCATCCTGTGTCCAGGGAAAAGAAGATACAACACTATATTCTAATAAAATTAAAGATTTACGTTTCTTTTCGGTTTTTGCCATTGGCTTTTTTTGTTATTATGCATTGTGCTGTTATATGGAAAGCAGAGTCTTTAAAAACTGAGGAAATTTTACTACAGGAATAAAGTTTGTAAGTTAGGCTAGGTTGATTTATCTCATTCACTAAAACGAGTGACACCATTTCGTGTTTTATTTGTTAGTTCTAACTGAAAAGGGGAGTTTCATGTTTTATTTAGACATGAGTATAGTTTGTTTTATTATAGTTAATTTAAAGCAATATTAATAAAACTATTGTTAATAATAGTATATTATGCAACGATCATGTAATGAGAGTTGCATACGCTATTTTTTCTACACCCGATAAATAATCAAGACCTATAAATATTATATTTATATTGGTATTGAACACAATAACAGTAATTACTCGTATAGATTTTTGCGGTAAAATATTTTGTACTGTATTTTCTGCTTTCTCCGATATGTGTGGAGGAGTCTTCTAAATCGCTAATATCAGACATTTTAATATTATAATTATCGAAGTTTAGCTACCTACGAAAATTTAATACGTTTTGACAACTAAAATAATTACATAGAAACCTAGGACAAACGTCAAACAGCATGCTTGATTGAAAAATTGTAGGTTTCTATTGATTAAAAATCTGTATCGTAATGAAAAATCTGTATCATAATGGGTATCATTATGAAACGGATTTTGGGCATATAAGTGCATTATTATAATACGGGTGTAGAAAAAATAATTTGTATCAAATCTTTTCTTTTTAAATACCTAAATTTAATTTGTTTCAGATTAGTGCACTTTATGTTTTGTGTATTATCTTTTTTTAGTGTGGAAAATTGCATACAAGAACTTTTTTGATATTCCAGAAATATTTTAGAAACTTTTTTACAACGTTTCATAATATTTATGAAACAAAACTAGAACACATTTCTGAAATATTACTATGTAATATTTCTAATATTTCAGAAATATTACTGTGAAATTATATTTACGGGACATTTGTTTCTGGTACGTTTTATAATATTTATAAAACATTAAAAATATTTCAATGTAACATTTTTGAAATATTTCCGAAATATTTTTGTGTTGCATGAGAAATGGGAGTAAACTTCGAAATAGGCGGATACGTCAACGCTAAAAATATAATCTGGCAACCGACAAATATAAAATTTCTGATCTACTGGACTTCTACATTACCAGAAAAGTACCAAGTAATTATATAAAAATAGAAGCAAATATCGACGTCGATTCAGATCACTTTCAAGTCATTCTGATATTTATCGAAAACATAATCACAAAACGAAACAATTCCACCTTATGCAATAAAAAACAGACTGGGAAAAATATAACTAAGCAATAGAATTAAGCTAAATGGGTTACTGAATCAAAAAGAATAAATAGATCTTGAGACAAAACAACTTGTAGTTGACATACAACAAACAACTTGGAACAATACACCAGAAATCAAAAGAAAGACAATTGGTAACGTGTATCCTCAAGAAATAAAATAACTGATAGCGAAAAAGAGAAAAACCAAAAAGAAATGGTAAACGTCCCCCTATCCTGAAGACAAAACAGCTCTTAAAACAGTTAAAAACAGATATAAATTAAATAATAAATGAGCTTAAAACATATCTAACTGAACTATAAATGATAAAGACTCAACATATTCATTATACATTAAGGCGGTCAATTATTCATATACCACCACTAAAACTAATGACTGGGCACGCTCAAACAAAGAAAAGACAGATAACCTATAGGTGATCATCTATAAAAAAATTCAATCAAACTTAGAGCCATGATTTAAACCCACAAGCATGGGTAAAGTCATAAGGCTTTTAACTGCCACAGACCTAACCCCAACATAACCCCGTTCATAGATGGAGACACCAATGCTCCCTTGCTACATACTCAACAAGTGGACATATACTACGGGGCCAGTCTAGCATTGTTGGTATTCACTGTTCAGTATTCATTATAATTTCTCACTTTTACATGTTGTTAATTTAGAATATTTTATGAATATAGTTTTTGTAGAAGCAAAGAATACCTACCCAAGAAGCGACACTAAATGGGCGATTCGTGGACAAAAAATTGCCAAGTTTTCTCAGTGTTTTAGAGGTAGTTTAACGTCAAATATAGTTGTCAGTTCATGTAGTGTATGACGTTTGGTATATTATTCTTAGCGTTTTGAGAAAATTTCAGTAGGTTTATTTAAAAGTAGTAATTATATATTAGATAGTTTAAAGGTTTTTATTACAATGAAAAAAATACATTGCGTTGTTCGTGGTTGTGTTACAACTTCAGAACAAGGGCTAACAATGTTTAAATTCACAGGAGATGCCATAAGGTATGTACTGAAATGTTACTGTTCAAATTTATTTAGAAAAATTAAGTATTAATAAATATAATTTTGTAGAGCTCAACTCTGGTTAAAAGCTTGTAATCGTGAAGATTTAAATTTCATAGTTCCTAGTGGCTTATCTTCATATAGAATATGTGAACAACATTTTGAAGAAAAATATTTTTCAAACGAAGCTATGATATTTTCCTACGACCACTTAGGAAAATGACACATCACACTATGGAAAGTGCCCTATATCACACGCGTATGAATAAGAATTTACTTTCCACCCGTGTACGAATATGCTACTTTCCGCAGTAGCTGTCAGAAAATGTTAAACATATTTCTATTTTGATCTATGTAATGTCCATATTAATACTAAAATCGATATGATTGTTAAATTATTGAAATTGTTGTAAATTAGATCCTAGATATTTATCTTTAACAATTATTATTAAAATAATTTTAAAATAACTAAGATATGTTTGCTTTTTATTCTGGTTAAATGGATAACCGATTAGATCATTCAATTGACGTAAGTGCTATTAGCTCAGATGGTTAGAACGTCGAATTTATTAACTTTGCCATTTGAGACTTGGCGAGCGACCGCGTTCAAATCTTGGCGGGGCCAGAATTTTTTTTTTGTTTTTTTTTTATTTTTAGTATTTTTTTTGTGTAGAAAGTGTGAAAATTGAATAAATACGATTATTGTTGATTATTTTTTTAAATACATTTTAATTATTATAGTAATAATAACCTGGTTTTACATTTTTTGATGTCATTATTTTGTGGTCGTAGAAAAAATATTGTACATCATTTGTGTGAAAAGTGATTTTCCACACTCGTGTGATAGTCGCACTCAGCTTGTGCCTCGTGCGACAATATTTCCCACTTGTGTGAAAAATGTCACTTTCCACACTCGTAATGTCAAATTTGGAAAATATAATTGCAACGTTGCCAGATTGTGATAAAATTAGTAGTTAATGGAAAATTGTGATTGCCCATACCGGTCCATAAATATGCAACAAGAAAAAAAGCAAGGACTTATCGTAGCCGCCACCCTACGATAAGTCGTAAAGTGGCTTCGCCGCCACCAAAAAACATTAACCCATACCTGGCTACGCCGACCAGCATAGACTCCAACGGCCTGGACACAGCTCAAATTGAATTACATAAGACATTGAGGACAATTTAAATATTTATTATATTTTCGAAATAAATAAGTTTTTTGAGCTTTTAAGGGCCTTGGCACATGGAAAATACTTGGATAAAACTGTATTATAATGTTGATAATGTAATTTTAAATAACTTTTATATTATGACCTTTTTTAAGATATGAATGGCTTGAGGACGTGTCAGGGAAATTTTTCAAAATAATCTTGCTTCTTTGGAAACAAAACTTATTGTTCTTTAAAGATAGTAATTCATTTCTCGTAGTTGATATCATTTTAAAGATATAAAATAATTATATACATGTATATGTCGCTTTAATGTCAAATTACCCACCTGCCAATCCTGGTTTTTGGTACGTCTGAGGATGCCTAGACATTTTTTTATTGCTATGTTTCTTATTGCTTATTGATCAAAATAATCTTAGGATGAACTAAATAAGAAATACATTTTTCAATTCCAAAAATTAGAATCTTGCATTTTTTGTCAAATTTCTCAAATACGGACCATTTTAAATGACAAAAATTATAGAGAATAACATTACAAGCAATTTTTATTTAAAGAATTTTCTTCTCCAAGCGTAAATATCAGATATATTCCATAAAGTAGAAAAACAACCTTCTACAAAGTACCCCCAGATTTTTCGACTATTTCCAAAAATTAAATCACTATTTTGTTTTTCAAACCATACGTACTGTGATCGATTTAATCCATTAAATAATATACATATAAACAATTTTATAGTAAGGATTAAAACAGTAATATATATGACAGACTCACTCTGAGGAACCAAGGATCATGCAATCAAAATACATTCTCAGCTACCTATAGTACTTATTACTAAAATTATTATTATTATTAACATTATCTATTGAACATAGTAAGAATTTTCCGTCATTTTAACTTTAATATGTGTTTAATTCTCATGAACCAAACAACAAAAATTGATTGGAATTATACGTTTCCCAGTGTATTAAGTTCCCATTTACGTCAAGGTCGCTGCTACTTTGGTACATAGAAAAACTCATTCAGTTTCGCTTCTTGGGTATGTATTCTTTGGTAGAAGACACACATTCCTTTTAGAAGCTCGTTATCATTTTTATAAGGACAAAGAATACCTACCCAAGAAGCGAAACTGAATGAGTTTTCGTATGTACCAATGCATGGGAACTTAATACACTGGGAAACGTATGAAAATTAGAAAGTGGGATAAATCAAAAACATTGCGATTAGGAGATTTTTGTTCAAAGAATTCTATTTTTTGAAGTAGTGAGGGTTCATTGGAGAGCAAAAAAACGTCACCATAAAGGCTTAAAAGCGGGATAAAATCGGGACACATGTTAAATCGGGACTAGTGATTTAACATCGGGACTGTCCGACCTAAAACGGAACAGATGGTCACTTTACCGTCATAGCAACTGTTTACACGAAGCATAGAAACGTATGATTCTTAAACTGATCATTGCCAAGTACGGAAACATCTCCATATTATGGGGCTGTCAGAATCCGCACCCTGCAGGGGGTGCGAACAAGAAGATGTGACCATCAAGCATATCCTGTACGATTGCCCGACGCTCTCATTTATTAGAATATTTGTTTCAGGCGAGTATTATCTAACACCGACCAATAAATAAGAAGCACCTCTTGGCAACATTAAACCTGAAGGCTAGCTCACGAGCTAGGAGGTGCCTATCCTCTTAGAAGAAAGCACAATGGACATAGTGAGGCATAAGTGCCGTGGAGTAATCCACTCTCCACACGTCACATATATAGGAGTACTGTAGGTAGTTGTAAATGCATTTCGATTGCATCCTGATTGCAGCGACTTGGTTCCTTTTAATTATTGTTTTGTATTATTTTTTATTTACTGTTTTAATCCGAATTAATTGAAAAACAAAAAAAACAAATTTAAAAAAAAGACTATGAATTTAAACGATGCATAATACGTAGGCGTAAAACACATCATTAGAGGTATTACTGATTTAGAAATTTGAAATATAAAACATTTACACCCAGATGCAAGAACGGTCATTAAAATTTACGAACAATGCAATGTATTTTTTTTTTAAATAACAAATATCTTAAAACTATCTAATTTCTAATTAATAGTTAAATACAACTACATTACTGCAATTTTCACAAAACGCTAATAATAATAGGTTTGTTCCAACTTGATACATAACCATTCAGTAACGGTACAGCGCATGCGTATTACACTCCAAGCGTTCCAACTTAATTTGTACGATGTGCGGGTTGATACAGAATTCGTTCCAACTAAAAAATGGATGATTCCGGAATCGTTTCTGTACCGTCATATCGATTCACAAATTTTTGTGGAACTGTTAGAACTGACTTGCGCAAAGAGATCGATATATGTTGATAGCTTAGGTTGATAGAGCCGATAGAGGTTAGTTTTAGTTAACTTAACCTACAAATTTACAGCGTTTTTATGTTTTGATAGGTAGATAATAACAAAATATACATTTTTATTTAGAAAATACTGTTTATAAATCATATTTGGAAAATGAGTGATATACTCGTAGAAGGAGATAGTGATTTTTTTTGATGATGATGCTAGTGACGATGATTTAGTATTAATGGTAAATTGAGAAAGGATAATAAACAAAATTATTTGAACAGAATATATTCATTATTTACCAATATTTTCCATTGTGCTCTAGAATATAGAATGATACTATAAAAAATCAATAACATCCATAATTATAAAACAGAAAACTAGTTTATTTTTATTTTCTTTTCGAAAAGTTTGGTTAGAATTTTCTTCCTCTTCTATTTTATCTATTTATGAACCATCCAGCAGTTTTAAAAGCGTTCCAACTCATTTTCGATTCCAAAACCATTCAGAGATGGGCTTGCGCAGTACATCGTTCATAAACTGATGTTGGTATGATACAAGAACGGTACCAAACACCAAGTTGGAATAAACCTAATATACCAAACGTTGCTCTACATAAATTGACAGCATGTTTGACGTTAAACCACCTCTAAAACACTGAGAAAACTTGGCAGTTTTTTGTCCACGAATTGCCCATTTAGTTTCGCTTCTTGGATAGGTATTCTTTGATAAGGGCCTTATGCAAGCCCTTTGATGGGAAGTTAACATTAATATTATGGGAAACTGCTGGCCATGTGCATGCCTTATTGCTGGTAAAAGGACGACGGCCTTCTGTCGCCCGTTGTGCCAAAAGTCGACTAACCAATTGCAGACCCCCATCGAAAAGCCACAATTTGAAGTAACGTACATACGTTTAAAGGCCGTTAACTTGCAAAAACAAAATGTTTGTTGGGAAACGATGAAAGGAAATTACAAAGGAGGAATTGAAGAATCAACTAGAAAGTTGCAGGTGGCAATAAATAAGATCTATGAATGGACAGTGGCGCCTTATATTCAACGAAACCAAAACAATACAAATAAACATCACAAACAAAAAAGCAGTAAAATATCGACCAGTAGTATTAAACAACAACAGAATATCATACTCAAGGAGCAAAATATCTAGAGATCCTAGATATTAAATTGAAATGAAGAGACCATATAAATAAAAAACGTAAAAAACTTGGCATAAAATAAAAAAACTGTACTGGCAATAAATTGAAAATGAGAACTTTCAATAGAAAATAAATTATTAATTTACAAACAAATACTAAATCCTACTTGTGCTTAAGGCACTATGGGGATGTGCCAGTAGAATCAATGTACATAATCCAAAAATGTCACAATACAGTATAACGTGCAAATGTAGATGCACCATGGTATGTGTAATATGTAAAATAAACTTTATTTATAATAATAATGTGCGTTTTTAACATAACCTTCAAACTTGAAACCTAAGATAGCGCTCTCTATATAATGTCTTACATTGTTGCCAACCTCGATGGTTAGGCCTAGTTCACATTACGTTACAGTATGTAAGTAATGCCGACCTCTACCGAGATTTGAGGATGGCAACAGTCCCTTAATGTACAAATAAAACTATTTCGTACCTGTTCATATTTTGCCGCTGTTCGAAATATTCGTATTCCGTGTCAGGATAAGGCAAGTTATCGTCCTCGTCCTTGTGACATTTCCGACCGCAAAGATAGCCGGCAAAAAATCCTACAACTAAGGCGGACACGGAACCAGCCACCACGGCCATAATGAGCGTTTCAACGGAGTATTGGTTAGGAAGAGCATCTGCGGCGGTCACGGCTGGACCTTTAACAAATACAACAAAAATATTAAAGGAAAACTATGAAAAATCAATTGAAAATTTAGATATAATTTACGGTTCCAGTGGGAATCGAACCCACCTCCTTTGACTTACCATAACAATATTCTAACCGATAGATAATTAATTAATTAATTAATTTAGATACTTACCACTGCTTTCGAAGGGTTTATCTTGAATGATATTAATCACTTGACCATCGGGCTTATCATTGCTGGGCAAATGGTCCATATTGTATTTAGGCAGACTCGAACTCAGCCCTCCAACTGAACTGGCGTCTTTTCCCAATTTGAGGGGTGGGCAAGCTTGATGTTCCCCGGTGGCTACGCTTTGGAAGAAGTAACTCTCCTCGCCCCATCGTCCTGACCCTTTCGACCTGCATTTGCCTTGAACTTTGTCCCAAGCGCAGTAAGGGTCTTGGAGGGCTACACATTCACTGGAAACGAAATAAGTTGTTTTAAAATTATAGTAGTAGGTTATATTAACATTTTTATTGCCATATAAACAAATTATTTATCAAACAAGATTCTTAAAGATGGTGTTACTGAAATATAAGTACATATGAAAAGTGACAAAACTGATTGATTTTCAAAAACAAATGGAATTAATTTTAGTATTATGTTCTAAAATTTAAAAATGGGACAATTTTCTATTTTCCGATCATTATTCAATCTTTGTTAAACCACCTATACGCTTGCGCTGTTGCCGGTTCATTACAAAATTAATTATATATCATTTTCTTTAATGAAACATATTCACCTAAAATTGTGAAACTTTGAAAAAAAAATCTGCAGTACAACAAAATAAAAAGCGAAAATGGCGTATATTTATGTTAGTATATTTTTAAATAAAATAAAACAATGCGTCTTTAAGACCAAAGACACTACAGTAATTGTTTAACTTCAATGGCCAAAAGAGATGGTTTTATTGTTTAAAAAGTTTGTAGGCAAAGGAGATCCTTTTTTGGTGGCAACTTACCTGCAACTGGATATTTTATTGCTATCACATCGATGCACCCTTAACGATTGGACTTCGGTGTCAGAGACGACGATAAGACGGGAATCGTCCTTTCCTTTGACACCTTTCATAATCCTGATGCCTCGTACAGGGGCGTGACTAGGAAACACTTGAATTTCTTCTACAACTACTGGCCGGACTCCATGTCTGGAGTCAGCTGATAGTCCGTTAACGGCTTTTATTATTTTTCCGTTATCTAAAATGAAAATAAGATTGTGAAATATTCATTGGATGATGGGTAAAGTTAGTATCTAGTTTGTTTAGAAAATGTTACTGTACCTGTCCCTATGAAGAGGACGTCGTAAGTTTTACCTCCAGGTACTTTAACTTGTGGATCCACAGCAATTTGTGTAAATCGATAGCTGTTAAAATTAAACAATTAGGAATTAAAGTAACAACAATATTAGTAATATACCATGAAACATAAGTATTTAAATTTTATCGAAAGATTCTAGACACTTTGAAACACACTGCATTTAACTATTTTGGGTCCGCTTACACTTGTTGTTGTTCAGTCACGACCATGAAAAAATGCAAATTAAATCATCTTAATAGATTTCTTGTTGTAAAAACGGCTAAATAACAATATTAGAATATCTATAGATTTTTTTTTCGTAAATATTCACAATGCCTTAGTCTTTGGTCTTCAAAGTTTTGAAAAAAGTATTTTTATTTATGGGCAATATGACAATTGACATTTCAATAAATTCGGTATTGCAAAATATAGTAAGAAAACGTATTTAACAGGAAATGAGTCGGTTAATGTCAACTGGCTCTTTGCTCCAGCGTAGCCGAGAAATCAAAGCGAAGCCAGGGGATGTTGGAAAAAGGATCACGGGTTGCTAAGCAACCCTCAATGGCTCTACGCCATATGTGACTAGTACATCCAAGAAATCAAAGCGAAATCGGAAAATGTTTAAAAAAGTTTACAGGTCGGGTTGAAGAGTTTTTAAAACTGTCGGGGAAATTGTATAATCCTTGCAATTTAGAAAATGTCAATATCGACTCAGAAGGTCACTCAGCGGATGAGAACGAGGAAGAAGATCTTGATATTTTTTTAAATCGTAAGTTTTGTTTTGCGGCGAACGTAGATTTCTCTTTCTTCGAATCTTCGTCCCTGCAAATGCGGAGTTACCTTCCAGTCACGGGGGTTTATATCATATGCACAATACGAAAACATGTTTCTGCGCATGCAACTCCGCGCTTGGGTGCTCTGAAGTCTGTTTTACAATAGCAAAATTGTATTAAAATGTAAAGCACATTGAATAATTCAATAACATCTCTTCAGAACACACAAAAAGTTTTGTTTCAAAAATTTTAATTCAACAAAAAAAAACATGCCTTCACTTAGTTATTTGTGCTATGTGAAGATGGCTTTCTGTCCGCTGCATGACTGCTGGCTGCCCGCTACAGTGGACCCCGCGCGCGCTCTCAACAAATAACATCAAAATCAAAAATAAAACAAATGTGTGGTTATGTTATGGTTTTGGTTGTCGACGAAAACATGTGAGTGAAACTACTTTATTTATTTATTTATTTTAGATATAAGTTATTTATGATTATTTAAATTCAAGTAAAGTTATTTTGATGCTTTGATGTCTTTACCAGGCAGAATTCATTATAAACGCATAATTTCTAATTGTTATAGTACATTTTATAAGGCCCATTTCAAACGTAAATTTTAAGAACAAACATTTTTAAATTTCCTTCTGATATTGATCAAAGAAAGGAATGGTGTCGTATTTTAAACATTCCAGTCATTCCACTTACAACCAATCATTATACCTTATGTGAAAATCATATTTTGATACAAAATCGTTTACAAACACAAATCGTTTAAGACTGCTAAAAGATTTTGCTTTGCCTTGCTTTAGCACCCTCAAAACCAGATACACCAAAGATAGTAGTACTTAGTAATATTGTTATCACACCTCTAAACAGAGTACCTCTAAAGATAAAGTTCATTTTAATAATATAATATACAAAATTATTAAATGAAGCAGAATTTGAGTCAGGTCACTAGTTATGTTGCAGGGTTTATTAAGAAACTTAATAGTTTTGACTGCAACGAGTGTAAAGTTAATTTATAGACATGTTAGAAGACCATTGATACTTTTACTTATTTTAAAGAAAATGATGATAAAAGACGTTTGATTTATGTACAAAGAAATGTTATTGAATTTATTTCAAAAATTCATGAAATTGTTTTACCACTTTTGGGTCATATTGACAATATAATTCAGAAAATTAAACTTTTTTGCCAGACCATGTTGATTTTAAATGGTTTACATCAAAGGCGATTCGTGGCCTAATCTACGAGGAGGCTACTTTTGAAAGGCACACCCTATATACTTAATATATGTTTCTATAAGAATACAGTAAGCAGAAATATTACATTGTATTCTAATAGAAATATACATTTGTAGACTAGACCACGAGCCGTGTCTGGTTTTCATGTAAAGAACATAAACATACGTCTTTTCTCATTTAGTTAAAACTTGTCTACCATTAATAATGAGCAAGTATTATAATGATAGTATGAGGGCTGCAGCAATGTATAAAAGACAAACAAAATTATTTGAAGTTACTGCATTTAATTTTTTTTTGTTTCAGTTTATATAGATGGTTGCTTTTGTCTTATTTCCTAAGATTCAAGAAGAATTTGTTGTTTTGTTTTTTGTTTATTTTAAAAATTTATTTACTTAGGCATTAGTTTTCATATCAAGTAAATTAATTATTTTTGTGCAATTTCTGATTTTTTTAGCCAAAGATAGTTAACGTACCGAAATAGTAATGAAATCCCAATAAACAATAAATTGCCGGGATATTGCTTGATGATGGCCTTATGAAGGGTAAGTAACTGCATTGGGTAAAAGCATGGTAAAAGTCAAAAGGCTTTTAACTGCCGCAGACCCAACTACAACTGTCCAGGAGAGCTCTGCCCCGCGTTCATAGATGGAGACACCGATGATCGCTTGTTACATACTCAACGAATAGACATCTACTATGAGGCCAGTCTCGCGATGTTGGTATTCACTAATAAGTATTCATTTTTTACTTTTACATATTAATTTAGAATATTTGATTAATAATTTTTTTGAAGAATACATTTTTTCTGTATTATATTATACAGCTGAATTAAATAAAATGTTTACATTTTATATTGAAATGCCCTCTTTTTTTTGGTATAGAATTTATAGTTCAAACTTCAAACGGTACTACTGGTCAAAGAGAAAGAGGCACTACTTATCGAATATCCTGTCTGATCATGTGCCTTACAAATGGCCTTTATTAATATGGTAAAAGGACAGCAATTTCCCGTTAATTTCCCATCAATAGGACATTAATTGCTAATATATTTTTTTCTAGACATTAAAGGGGAAATGAAGGCCCATTAATTGGTTATGATGGCAAAGTGACTTCGGCCCGACTGTCGGCTGTAGTGACCTATATATGCCAGCCTTTTAATTAAAAAAAGTCAAATGGTCATCAATGTAATTAGAGGGTGACAGTTATTGGGCCTTTAATTCCCCTACACAAAATGTTTGTTGGGATGTTTGTGATATTAGAGTAACTTTCTTAAAGAGTCATTTATAAGACGTCCGGGAGCGCCATAGTAGATAATAATATTAATAGCCATTCTTGCTTCGCATATGCTCTGCTTGCATGGGGGTGAAGTGCATGAAAAATAATTTTTTGTATTGCCATCTCTTTGATATATTTTTTATTTATTTTTCTTGGGAATTTTTAGTAAATATAATTATATAAAACTTTGTATGATATTTATTTTATCCCTCATAATTATTTGTCATAGAATTTTACATTTTCTAAACAATACGAAATGGAGCCATACATATTTCTATAGTTTAATTTTACTTGAATGAAAAATATGTACCTTCAGGTAAAAGTGAAATGTCCGTTTTTCTGGAGCCACTATTCCGAAATTTGATTTATTTTCTCAATTTTTGAAATCTTTATAAAAGCAAAATTTTGCGATTTATTGCCATCAAAATTTGATTAAATTTTGAAAAAGTGGTTCTAGAGGAATATTATTTAGCTACACGTACATGTTTTTTATTTCTCTAAAATTTAAAATGTTACTACCAAAATTTTGTATGGCTATATTTCGTATTAGTTAGAAAATAATTGCAAAAGTAAATTCTCCTTTAAAAAAATCCGCCAATTTTCAAATTAAATATAATATTACTGGTAACTGCATTACCGACAGAGTAAGAGTTGATGGCAATACTGCTGGTAACTACATTACCGACAGAGTATGATTAGTTCTACAACTCCCCCTACAGGTCGCTGCAAACAAACATGTTGCCAAATTTCTACAAAGAAACGGCAACTCTTAATAATCCTTTCTCCATGCTTCCATTCAGCGTGAGCGAATTCTGGATTGTAGATTTAAGAATTCGAAGAATGTATGTTTTCTTGAGGTTTTCGTTAACAATTATTGGGAGTGTTGAAATAAAATGATTTCTTCAGCTAACTGGTTTTATTCAACATTGTAGACTTAATATTGTTTTATATAACTTTTTTATAACTTCGTAAAATGTATAATGACTGTGCAGGTTTGAAACATTTCATGTATTGTAAAATAAAGACGAAGTGCTCGTGAATGAATACGAGATGTTGTCTGGTTGCTTGTCGGAGAGTGTCTCATAGTTTTTAGTCTGTTCTGGGGTTATTGGTCGAGGCGACGGACCAAGATGTGACGTATGGTTTTTTGATTGGCTCTAAGGCTGTGGCCTGATATTGCGTTTGTTTTATGTAGGAATGAGAAAGCATATTGTCGCTTGCACATGTGTATACGTTTAACGGTCTATTTTTACTATACTTTTGTTAGCGAGAGTGAAACAGATTTATGAGTGTGAAAGAGTCAGCGCTAATGCCTAAATAACCGGAAAATTTTCATGAGAAAGACATAATTTTAGGCGCTAGATGTTATTGAATTTTGAACACCTGCAAATATGTTTTTCTAGGAAATCGAAAATCGTTAAAAATGCATTTATTGCTAGCAAGGCTGGCTTTGATATTGTAATTTTGTTTAAATTCATGGTATAATGTACAAATTTAATTAAAAAATATATTATTGTTTTCTTATTTACTATATGTATATTTTTGAAGCTTGTACAACACAGGATACAGGTAAAAATGACGAGTGACATATTTGAATTCATCTGGCAACATTGTATTCCTAGGCGTTTTTCAAACCATTGAGATAACAAATGTCAACAACAGTTTTAAAAACTTTGAAGATAAAAACTAAAGAAATAAATGTTTACGAAAAAATTTTTTATGGTTTATTGTTTTTAGCCGTTTCTACAACAACAAATCAATCAAAATGATATAATTCACTTGTTTTTAAGATCGAGATTGGACGATACATTTGGAACTTTTAAGGTAAAAAAAAAACATATTTTTAAACATTTTCAGAACGAAAATTTTACTTGAAAATGTGTTTCAGATAATGCTAAAATGGCCTAGAAACGAAACTTTGGCCTATTCATGTTTTGGCAGATTTTTCATCAATTCATTGAATTCGTATACTTACTGAAAACTAGTTCTTATAACAATGGGCTGTCCGAAAAAACTGGGCACGCTTTCGTCCATCAACGAATGCGCTTTGATAAAATTCAAAGTCAAATCCGGCAACGTTCGACTGTCATTGTGACACTGGCCCGGTCTCGGATCAGGCACTTTTTGGCTCAACACCGGCAACCAATTCGAGTTCAGAGCGGCCTGCTCCTTGAAATTGCCCTCGAACGTGTCGGTGATGTCCTGGAGGCTGAAGGCACAAACGGCGCTGCCTGATATGCTGTTTGGAGGGGTGGTGAACGTACCGTAGATGAGCTGAGCTTGAACCTCGCCGTACTTGCCGTCGATTAAATCAGTCGCCGATTCTGAAAAAATAAAAAAAAATTTAACAGTTTTAAAATACAATAACTAAAGGTCTGTTCCAATCTGCCCGAAAACCGTAATATTACCGTACAAATCATGCGCTGTATACAATTTTTATGTACAGCGCACGATTTGTACGGTAATATTACGGTTTTCGCACGTTTTGGAACAAACCTTATTAAATAATTAATACAGAAACTTGAATTTTGAACTCGATATAGAACATCTATCAATTTATTCACGAATATATTTATTTATACCTAAAGATTCATTTGACAGTGCAACATTGGACTAATATTACTGAGTTTTATTATTAATTAAACTCTACCTACACACTTTAAATACTTTCGATTCATTTCTTAACTTTTAATTGTCTGCTACTGCTTATGTTTTAAAGCAATACTGTCTGTAATAGCTACCTTAATTTTTGGTAATGTGTATTCAGTTACTAATAGTACTTTCTACCTAATTTCCTAATTAACATAATTTTCTCTTTACATTTCTCTTTATTTGTTAGTATAATTTTGGATAAGTATTTGAAACTATCTAGTTTGCAATTACCAATTTAGGAGAGTATCCGAATTATATTAATTTAATTAAAGTGCCGACAAAGTTAGTTATTTTATTTTTCCACAATAACAAAAACAATATTTTGCTGCCCTTCAAGAGAAAATTGTGAATTTTATATTTTGACGCCTGTTCGCTGATCGGGTGAGGGCCAAATAAGAGACAGCAAAGAAGAAAAAAGAAGAAAAAGTTGGTTTATGTTATCATCAACACTATATTATGATCGGTGTGTTGCAAAATAGTGGGATATTATAGTCTTAGTTTGGTTTTTATTAGGTAAGATATTCTTTATGTTATAAATTTTAGAGCATACAAATTGTTATATTTAGTTATTGCACCCATGACGTGAGTATAATACAATTTTCGGATGACTATGAGGTTAGCCTCGCTTTATAGTGCATCTCAAATGGTTAACACCTCGACGAAGAGAAGTTTTTTGGACACTCTATAGGAAATTATGTCTGTATTATAATGCTCTAACAATGGATGTAAAAAACATAAGAAAGTAATTGATTTATTTATAAAGAACTTGCTTTTATTGCAGTAAATATTTTTTTCTACATCCACATGGATATTAGCTTATCTACGCATAGATTACAAAACGAAAAAGTATGCTATTGCCTTCAACTGAACGAATATAATTTATATCCATTCTAGGTAGTGAGAACACTGCAAAAAATGAAATCCACCAATTACCGTCCAATTTTGATCAACCGACTGCTATTATTTTTAAATTTTTAAATAAGAGACAATTCTGTCAAACTAATTGTCAGTATATTTATATATATATAGTTATTGAGATTAAACATACATTAAAATGGGTTATTCTTGTGTAGAATCGATAAATAATAGCATTTCTGTTTTTATTTCATCTATAATTATAAATAATTTGTTAATTTAAATAAAACTATATAAAATCAATTTAATTACAAATATTAAAGCAACAAAAGTAAAAGAATAGGTGGTCCTGTAGTCAGCGTTCTGCCCTTCCACGCGGAAGATTTATTTTTAAAATGAATAAACATAAATTATTTTAAAATTAGTTAGTTTGTCTTAATAACCTAAAATATTTTTTTATTTATAAATTTTCGTTGGTGGGTCGTAGAAATATACTGTACAACTCGAGTGGATTGTCCACATTGCACTCAGACGTGCCTGCGGCGTCGTGCTCAAATTTCGTCTTCATGCGATATGGCCATCATATCCACTCTTGTTGTACAAACTACTATTTCAGTTTCTTCTGTAATTTTATCTACAGTATTTATGGTGTTTATTGTTTAGTTTTAATATTTTTTTTATGATAAAGATTGTTTATTATTATCTATCTGTAATATTATTTCCTATAAGCCCTATAGAGCCTTCTTTTAGGTGAAGCCAAAACTAACGTCAGAGTAACGTTACAAATTGACGTCATAGTAACGCCACAAAATGACGTAAGAGTAACGTTACATAATGACGTCACTGTGCCGTGACATAATGACGTGAGCTGGACGTAATTTTGACGTTACATTTTTGGTGAAAAATGACTGGATGACCAATAAATGACGTCTCTGTAATGTCAGTGTGCTACCTGGGATATTAATCCAGCTTTGGAAACAAATTATTATGATTCATACAGTCAAACGCCCTGTGGAGATCACAAAATATAACAAACATGACATTCACCCGCATCGAAAAATTAAAATTTTTTAAATTAGTTTTGATTATTACTAAGAATAAACTTATTAGTTTAACAAGTGTACCAACACAACAACAAAAATTGTAAATAAGTGAGGTTAAGTGTTAAAAGTAATCTGATCGAGATCAAACACTTATTGCATATAGTATACTTATTAAATTGAGACATATTTTTCTACATAGGTATTCACTAATGAAACAAAAATCGCTGCGTTACCAATTAGAGAGGCTAGTTTTTCAGTATTATTGAAATAAAAAAATAGTAACATTTTTCGATATGTCAATAAATAAAAAACGCTATAGAGCAAATACAACAAGGATTCCTAAGTAACTCAAAAACGATCTTCGATCCATGAGTGTTACCACTTTGGAAGCGACCTATAAAAAGAAGCCAATTTCCAACACTTCTATATCATAAATAACAATTTTTTAATTATAAAACTTCCCTAAACTACTTATAGCAATAATTCAAAAATCAGCTTTATCTGCAACAATAAGCCGACAACTTTTCTTCGCAGTAACGCTGAGCGGCCTCTAATTTTCAAAACGATCACGTGTAGACAAAAGTTCTCGCTTAATAGAATATTAATTTAGCTCGAAAAATAAATCTATCGCGGCGGTAAAGTCTCAGAACTAGTCGCGCGATGATAAATTTCGCGCGATGATAAATTCCGCGAATTTAAATTCGCCCGGTGTGCGCTCGAACCGAGAAGAGCAAAAGAACTCAGAAGACATTTTTCTCGAAATAATTTTGAGTGAATAAATGAGGAAACTATCTCGATACCTTAATTACATAGAAGACGGTCCTGTGGGAGGTAGAGATCGTGAATCTTACATCTTTAAAAAAGTGTACAATCACTAAACAACTTATTCTGTATTATTGAAGGGTTTTTTCCTGGGTTCTTCTGACTTAGGCATTGATAATACTGCAGTCTAATTATATTTGACCCCTTGTTAGTTCATAGTATTCACCCTGTCACCTTTATCTCTTGTACACGTTTGATAAAGTGTGTTCTATAGATTGCCTGTGTTCGTCTGTGTTTGTACGTATTTTGCGATCTGTTTTGAAGTCTCACAGTAGGGGAGACCGGGGAATTACCGCCACCCTTGAGCGAAAGTGCATAAAATCAAGGGAAACGACACATTCTACAAAAAGTTTACTTTCAATGAGTAATATTTAAAAAAGTTTGCAGTTGTTGTTTAGGGGAACATTCTCTGGATTAAAAACAAGGGTGACTAGTTAGTGGTATTACCCCAGGGTACCGGGATTATACCGCCATGTCTATGAAAGAATACCGCAAACATCTAAAGTGAGATCTAAATGCTGTAGCTTGTGAGACGTGTGCTTCAATTCTGTTCAGACATCTTTCTCTGGGTGTCCTAAGGCTGTTGGGTGTCCTAAGGTTGTTAGAAATTATTTTGCAAAAAACTTGGACCCAATCTTCTCCTGCCATGTTTGTAGTTTTATTTAACTTATGAGAAATATGATTTATTTCTGCCAAACTTTAAAGTAGGCATCTGAGTTCTGTTATGTTGGTACCGTAAAACATTTGTGCTAACATTCGCACATGGTAAACTGTATTCTTCTTGTAGACGAGAAAACGTATGTTTCCTTCCCAAAGTGTCTATTATTTTTATTGTTCAACCTATCTTTGAGTGTTGACCTGGGAATAAATAATAAGCATAACCTACATTCCATCCTTAATTAGCTGGATTGCTTGTTTTAGGTTATTTTCGAAGCACTTGGTTCTAGTTGTTGTTCAGCGGCGTCTTCTAGCCATATAAAAAACCAACATGCAATACTTGTTTGCTATTTTCTGGGACTGGGGCAATACCGCCATCATGGCGATTTTACCCATACGATGGTGGTGGCATTACCTCCACGATGTATTCACACCTTTAAAACAAAACTAATATCCTATCAAGAAATTGTCGACTATAAAATAGTATATTACATTACGAGTGTGGAAAGTGACATTTTTCACACGAGTGTGGAAAATCACTTTTCACACAAGTAATGTACAATATTTTTCCTACGACCACAAAATAATGTCATCAAAAAAATGTAAAACCAAGGTTATTATTACTATAATAATTAAAATGTATTTAAAAAAATAATCAACAATAATCGTATTTATTCAATTTTCATATTTTCTAAACAAAAAAAACTAAAAAAAATAAAAAAAAATAAAAAAAAATAAAAAAAAACAAAAAAAAAATTCTGCCCCGACAGGATTTGAACCATAGATTGAACGCGGTCGAAAAATGGCAAAATTGATAAGTTCGACGTCCTAACCAGCTGAGCTAACAGCCCTTGTGTCAATTGAATGATCTAATCGGTTATGTATTTAACCAAAATAAAGAGCAAACATTATTTTAAAATTATTTTAATAATAATTGTTAAAGATAAATATCTAGGATCTAATTTACAACAATTTCAATAATTTAACAATCATATCGATTTTAGTATTAATATGGATATTACATAGATCAAAATAGAAATTAGCTTACAAAATAATATCAAAAAAATGTAAAACCAAGGTTATTATTACTATATTAATTAAAATGTATTTAAAAAAATAATCAACAATAATCGTATTTATTCAATTTTCATATTTTCTAAACAAAAAAAACTAATAAAAAATAAAAAAAAACAAAAAAAAAATTCGGCTCCGCCAGGATTTGAACCATAGATTGAACGCGGTCAAAAAATGGCAAAGTTGATAAGT